TATAACAAACATAAAACGAAACGCAACCGTTCACTTAAAACGAGGGAGGTAAAAACACATGAAATGGAAACCAAAACGGAGCTTTCGTGTGGCGAAAGGTTTTTAACAATGGCAGGGAAAGAACATGTATGAGGAAGGTAAGCAGCCGTTATATGATATATTTACTGAAAAGAAATGTCTAGGGACCCGCGGATTAGGGCTGGGATAGGTAACTCGGGTATCCGGGTTGGGTGGGTACTGAGTAGGACCCGGGTACCCACAGGACTACCGGGACCCATGGTTAGTCATGTGATATATTGTTTAATGACTAAACTTATCTAGAAATCTATAATTACACTACAAGTCATTAATGTTTGTTTTTCTTTCTGAATATGCACCCATTCCTTCAGATTTTTCATATGGTTGAATAAAGATGTAACTTAAGTCAACTTCAGTGTATGCATGACCAGATTGTGTAATACATGAATCTAAATACGTTTGGCCAGGGCTATGCTAAAAAAGTTCCCAATCAGCCATTTAGAGACATCTCCTGAGACCTAGAGTGGGTCTCCGGGTAGGGTCGGGTAATGGGGGGCGGGTACCCGGGTAGTAAATTTGGACTCGCCCCAGCCGTACCGCAGAAACATGTGCATAGGAAGATATTCAATTCCAACCGAAATGACAAACAAATCCAATTGTAAATGTGGAATGGAAGCAAACACGTCCGTTTACTACAGGCGATGTAGGAAAAAGTGGTGAGTACAGGAGGGTGCTGGGAGCGAGGTGGTCGGAGGGTGTGTTCTGGTGATTATTGTCTTCACAATGTTCCACACTGTTATATAATCGAAGCAAGAAGGAATATTGCAAACTGTTGTGGTGGGATAAGTTAAATAATTTATTCATTTCACAGCAACCACATGCCTACAACGTAACGTGTACAAACTTTAGAAAGTCTGTCTCACAAATTTATTGACACCGAAATATGTTTCTAATTCTTAGTGTTAATTTTTAATTGGTCACATGTAACATTTTCATCGCGAACACAGCAAGAGTATTTAGGATCACAAATCACACACAGAATACAGAATAATATTGACAATATACTTCCAAAATGGCTTACAGTCTTACTAACAGGCTTACAGTCGTTCTCAAATAATTATCAATAAACAAAACAGTTATCAAAAAGGTGTGGCACAAAATGGTTAATTGTAAAGGTAAGTCTTACCTGAATTGTCTCAGTCATTGAGACTGATTAAATATGGATCGTGTTAATGTGTCTAAATCTGTAACTGGGCATTTTACTAAATTACTACTGATCTTCCTCCAAATACATTACAAACCCTAACTAAGAATAACCAACGAATGAGATGCTAATTGTTAAACTGATGACAACTGATACTGGTTGTTTTTGCTGTTGTCTGGCTAGTCTAGGTTGGCCGTACTTGCGACTCACTCAGTCACTGGTCACGACAATATTTTTGCAAATTGTGGGATAAGCAAGACAGCCTATTTAACTCAACTAGCCAAATTAGGGAATGGGCTAATGCTTGAAGATGGTCCTTAGCCTGTGACACTAGGGCAAATATTTCTATCTTTTATCCCCTTACTGCTGAGTACAAATGCTTTTGCCAGTGGTAAAGGGGGAGCCAAGCCAGATTCTCCAGGTGGATCTTTTTCTTCAGTTACTTGCTCCTCTGCAGACTCCTGAGTGTCACAACAAGACGGCTCAACTTACCATCTGGGTGAGGAGTGTCACAACAAGACGGCTCAACTTACCATCTGGGTGAGGAGTGTCACAACAAGACGGCTCAACTTACCATCTGGGTGAGGAGTGTCACAACAAGACGGCTCAACTTACCATCTGGGTGAGGAGTGCTGCTCAACTTACCATCTGGGTGAGGAGTGTCACAACAAGACGGCTCAACTTACCATCTGGGTGAGGAGTGTCACAACAAGACGGCTCAACTTACCATCTGGGTAAGGAGGGCTGCTCAACTTACCATCTGGGTGAGGAGTGCTGCTCAACTTACCATCTGGGTGAGGAGTGTCACAACAAGACGGCTCAACTTACCATCTGGGTGAGGAGTGTCACAACAAGACGGCTCAACTTACCATCTGGGTGAGGAGTGTCACAACAAGACGGCTCAACTTACCATCTGGGTGAGGAGCGTCACAACAAGACGGCTCAACTTACCATCTGGGTGAGGAGTGTCACAACAAGACGGCTCAACGTACCATCTGGCTGAGGAGTGTCACAACAAGACGGCTCAACTTTCCATCTGGGTGAGGAGTGTCACAACAAGACGGCTCAACTTTCCATCTGGGTGAGGAGGGCTCACAACAAGACGGCTCAACGTACCATCTGGGTGAGGAGTGTCACAACAAGACGGCTCAACTTACCATCTGGGTGAGGAGGGCTCACAACAAGACGGCTCAACGTACCATCTGGGTGAGGAGTGTCACAACAAGACGGCTCAACTTACCATCTGGGTGAGGAGTGCTGCTCAACTTTCCATCTGGCTGAGGAGTGTCACAACAAGACGGCTCAACTTACCATCTGGGTGAGGAGGGCTCACAACAAGACGGCTCAACTTACCATCTGGGTGAGGAGCGTCACAACAAGACGGCTCAACTTTCCATCTGGGTGAGGAGGGCTCACAACAAGACGGCTCAACGTACCATCTGGGTGAGGAGTGTCACAACAAGACGGCTCAACTTACCATCTGGGTGAGGAGGGCTCACAACAAGACGGCTCAACGTACCATCTGGGTGAGGAGTGTCACAACAAGACGGCTCAACTTACCATCTGGGTGAGGAGTGCTGCTCAACTTTCCATCTGGGTGAGGAGTGTCACAACAAGACGGCTCAACTTACCATCTGGGTGAGGAGGGCTCACAACAAGACGGCTCAACTTACCATCTGGGTGAGGAGTGTCACAACAAGACGGCTCAACTTTCCATCTGGGTGAGGAGGGCTCACAACAAGACGGCTCAACGTACCATCTGGGTGAGGAGTGTCACAACAAGACGGCTCAACTTACCATCTGGGTGAGGAGGGCTCACAACAAGACGGCTCAACGTACCATCTGGGTGAGGAGTGTCACAACAAGACGGCTCAACTTACCATCTGGGTGAGGAGTGCTGCTCAACTTTCCATCTGGGTGAGGAGTGTCACAACAAGACGGCTCAACTTACCATCTGGGTGAGGAGGGCTCACAACAAGACGGCTCAACTTACCATCTGGGTGAGGAGTGTCACAACAAGACGGCTCAACTTTCCATCTGGGTGAGGAGGGCTCACAACAAGACGGCTCAACGTACCATCTGGGTGAGGAGTGTCACAACAAGACGGCTCAACTTACCATCTGGGTGAGGAGGGCTCACAACAAGACGGCTCAACGTACCATCTGGGTGAGGAGTGTCACAACAAGACGGCTCAACTTTCCATCTGGGTGAGGAGTGCTGCTCAACTTTCCATCTGGGTGAGGAGTGTCACAACAAGACGGCTCAACTTACCCAGATGGTAAGTTGAGCCGTCTTGTTGTGACACTCCTCACCCAGATGGTACGTTGAGCCGTCTTGTTGTGACACTCCTCACCCAGATGGTAAGTTGAGCCGTCTTGTTGTGAGCCCTCCTCACTCCTGGGTGAGGAGGGCTCACAACAAGACGGCTCAACTTTCCATCTGGGTGAGGAGGGCTCACAACAAGACGGCTCAACGTACCATCTGGGTGAGGAGTGTCACAACAAGACGGCTCAACTTACCATCTGGGTGAGGAGGGCTCACAACAAGACGGCTCAACGTACCATCTGGGTGAGGAGTGTCACAACAAGACGGCTCAACTTACCATCTGGGTGAGGAGTGCTGCTCAACTTTCCATCTGGGTGAGGAGTGTCACAACAAGACGGCTCAACTTACCATCTGGGTGAGGAGTGTCACAACAAGACGGCTCAACGTACCATCTGGGTGAGGAGCGCTGCTCAACTTTCCATCTGGGTGAGGAGTGTCACAACAAGACGGCTCAACTTACCATCTGGGTGAGGAGTGTCACAACAAGACGGCTCAACTTTCCATCTGGGTGAGGAGTGTCACAACAAGACGGCTCAACGTACCATCTGGGTGAGGAGTGTCACAACAAGACGGCTCAACTTACCATCTGGGTGAGGAGGGCTCACAACAAGACGGCTCAACTTACCATCTGGGTGAGGAGTGTCACAACAAGACGGCTCAACGTACCATCTGGGTGAGGAGTGTCACAACAAGACGGCTCAACTTACCATCTGGGTGAGGAGGGCTCACAACAAGACGGCTCAACTTACCATCTGGGTGAGGAGTGTCACAACAAGACGGCTCAACTTACCATCTGGGTGAGGAGTGTCACAACAAGACGGCTCAACTTACCATCTGGGTGAGGAGTGTCACAACAAGACGGCTCAACTTACCATCTGGGTGAGGAGGGCTCACAACAAGACGGCTCAACTTACCATCTGGGTGAGGAGTGTCACAACAAGACGGCTCAACTTACCATCTGGGTGAGGAGGGCTCACAACAAGACGGCTCAACTTACCATCTGGGTGAGGAGTGTCACAACAAGACGGCTCAACTTACCATCTGGGTGAGGAGTGTCACAACAAGACGGCTCAACTTTCCATCTGGGTGAGGAGTGTCACAACAAGACAGCTCAACTTTCCATCTGGGTGAGAAGGGCTCACAACAAGACGGCTCAACGTACCATCTGGGTGAGGAGTGTCACAACAAGACGGCTCAACTTACCATCTGGGTGAGGAGGGCTCACAACAAGACGGCTCAACTTACCATCTGGGTGAGGAGTGTCACAACAAGACGGCTCAACTTACCATCTGGGTGAGGAGTGTCACAACAAGACGGCTCAACTTTCCATCTGGGTGAGGAGTGTCACAACAAGACGGCTCAACTTACCATCTGGGTGAGGAGGGCTCACACTGCCTAGTTACAGGATACATGGTATTGTGCTAATGGTGCAGGAGACTTGATGTGAGCTTACTTGTTTTTCTTGCCCTTGGACACCAGGTCTTCAATGTCCACGACAGAGCCCAAAATCTGACGGGCTTCACTAGTTTTCTTCATATCTGAAAGAAAGCCAGGCAGATGAGACATCACACACACTACCATCTGTCTTCATCCCTCAGGCTTTTCCCTTGCTTGCTGTTTTCCATTTTCAACCAAAACTGTTTTATCCTTTACTTGAAGCATTCCCATTTGCATAGGAACATCTGAGAAGTGGGGACAATGACAGTGACAGGTATTACTGAATGGGGGATGCTGTATACTCACCATCCAGCACGTTGTAGTAGTGACATCGCCTTGCCTGCACCTTGGCTCTGCACATATGCACCTACAGAACACAACAAACAGGGGGAAACATGTCAGTAGTAGAAACATCATCAGAATGTGTCGCTAAAGATTATGAGCACACCTGGGACATGACACTTCACACATTAACTGATCATGAGTAAACATCACATGTATTCTTCATTAACCGAGGTGGACAGGGGACAGGCTATTCTAGACAAACCAAAGAGAAGAAGGACAGAGGTCAGGCTATTGTAGACAAACTAAAGAGAAGAAGGACAGGGGACAGGCTATTCTAGACAAACCAAAGAGAAGAAGGACAGAGGTCAGGCTATTGTAGACTAACCAAAGAGAAGAAGGACAGAGGTCAGGCTATTCTAGACTAACCAAAGAGAAGAAGGACAGAGGTCAGACTATTGTAGACGAACCAAAGAGAAAATGGGCAGAGGTCAGGCTATTCTAGACAAACTAAAGAGAAGAAGGACAGAGGTCAGGCTATTCTAGACTAACCAAGGAGAAGAAGGACAGAGGTCAGGCTATTCTAGACAAACCAAAGAGAAGGACACAGGTCAGGCTATTGTAGCCAAACCAAAGTGAAGAAGGATAGAGGTCAGGCTATTTTAGACAAACCAAAGAGAAGAAGGACCAAGGTCAGGCTATTGTAGACGAACCAAAGAGAAGGACACAGGTCAGGCTATTGTAGCCAAACTAAAGAGAAGAAGGATAGAGGTCAGGCTATTCTAGACTAACCAAAGAGAAGAAGGACCAAGGTCAGGCTATTGTAGACGAACCAAAGAGAAGAAGGACAGAGGTCAGGCTATTCTAGACAAACTAAAGAGAAGAAGGACAGAGGTCAAGCTATTCTAGACTAACCAAAGAGAAGAAGGACAGAGGTCAGGCTATTGTAGACCAACCAAAGAGAAGGACAGAGGTCAGGCTATTCTAGACAAACAAAAGAGAAGAAGGACAGAGGTCAGGCTATTCTAGACTAACCAAAGAGAAGAAGGACAAAGGTCAGGCTATTCTAGCAGACCAAAGAGAAGAAGGACAGAGGACAGGATACTCTAGACAAACCAAAGGGAAGAAGGACAGAGGTCAGGCTACTCTAGACAAACCAAAGAGAAGGAGGACAGAGGTCAGGCTATTGTAGACTAACCAAAGAGAAGAAGGACAGAGGTCAGGCTATTGTAGACAAACCAAAGAGAAGAAGGACAGAGGTCAGGCTATTCTAGACTAACCAAAGAGAAGAAGGACAGAGGTCAGGCTATTCTAGACTAACCAAAGAGAAGGAGGACAGAGGTCAGGCTATTGTAGACTAACCAAAGAGAAGAAGGACAGAGGTCAGGCTATTGTAGACAAACCAAAGAGAAGAAGGATAGAGGTCAGGCTATTCTAGACTAACCAAAGAGAAGAAGGACAGAGGTCAGGCTATTCTAGACTAACCAAAGAGAAGGACAGAGGTCAGGCTATTGTAGACAAACAAAAGAGAAGAAGGACAGAGGTCAGGCTATTCTAGACTAACCAAAGAGAAGAAGGACAAAGGTCAGGCTATTCTAGACAAACCAAAGAGAAGAAGGACAGAGGACAGGATACTCTAGACAAACCAAAGGGAAGAAGGACAGAGGTCAGGCTACTCTAGACAAACCAAAGAGAAGGAGGACAGAGGTCAGGCTATTGTAGACTAACCAAAGAGAAGAAGGACAGAGGTCAGGCTATTGTAGACAAACCAAAGAGAAGAAGGACAGAGGTCAGGCTATTCTAGACTAACCAAAGAGAAGTAGGACAGAGGTCAGGCTATTCTAGACTAACCAAAGAGAAGAAGGACAGAGGACAGGCTATCCTAGACACACTAAAGAGAAGAAGGACAGAGGTCAGGCTATTGTAGACAAACTAAAGAGAAGAAGGACAGAGGTCCGGCTATTCTAGACTAACCAAAGAGAAGAAGGACAGAGGTCAGGCTATTGTAGACCAACCAAAGAGAAGGACACAGGTCAGGCTATTGTAGACAAACCAAAGAGAAGAAGGACAGAGGTCAGGCTATTGTAGACAAACCAAAGAGAAGAAGGACAGAGGTCAGGCTATTCTAGACTAACCAAAGAGAAGAAGGACAGAGGTCAGGCTATTCTAGACAAACCAAAGAGAAGAAGGACAGAGGTCAGGCTATTCTAGACTAACCAAAGAGAAGAAGGACAGAGGTCAGGCTATTCTAGACTAACCAAAGAGAAGAAGGACAGAGGTCAGGCTATTCTAGACTAACCAAAGAGAAGAAGGACAGAGGTCAGGCTATTCTAGACAAACCAAAGGGAAGGACAGAGGTCAGGCTGTTGTTGACTAACCTATGAGAAAATGGACAGAGGCCTGGCTATTGTAGTCTAACCAAAGAGAAGAAGGACAGAGGTCAGGCTCACCTATGAAAAATTGGACAGAGGCTATTTAAGATAGGTTTTTCTATGGATCCATGGTTACCTTAGATGTGTTGTTTGTTTCCTTGCTGACTTTCTCATCAATACACAGCTGCTCCCTGGATCCCAGGACACAGGAGTTGACACTGTAACACATAACCACAGCACACTTTACAGGTGCTCCCTGGTCCCTAGGTGTCACTGTAACACACAACCACAGCACACTTTACAGGTGCTCCCTGGTCCCTAGGTGTCACTGTAACACACAACCACAGCACACTTCACAGGTGCTCCCTGGTCCCTAGGTGACACTGTAACACACAACCACAGCACACTTCACAGGTGCTCCCTGGACCCTAGGTGACACTGTAACACACAACCACAGCACACTTTACAGGTGCTCCCTGGTCCCTAGGTGTCACTGTAACACACAACCACAGCACACTTCACAGGTGCTCCCTGGACCCTAGGTGACACTGTAACACACAACCACAGCACACTTTACAGGTGCTCCCTGGTCCCTAGGTGTCACTGTAACACACAACCACAGCACACTTCACAGGTGCTCCCTGGACCCTAGGTGACACTGTAACACACAACCACAGCACACTTCACAGGTGCTCCCTGGACCCTAGGTGACACTGTAACACACAACCACAGCACACTTTACAGGTGCTCCCTGGCCCCTAGGTGTCACTGTAACACACAACCACAGCACACTTCACAGGTGCTCCCTGGATCCCAGGACACAGGAGTTGACACTGTAAAACACAACCACAGCACACTTCACAGGTGCTCCCTGGACCCTAGGTGACACTGTAACACACAACCACAGCACACTTCACAGGTGCTCCCTGGACCCTAGGTGACACTGTAACACACAACCACGGCACACTTCACAGGTGTTCCCTGGACCCTAGGTGACACTGTAACACACAACCACAGCACACTTCACAGGTGCTCCCTGGTCCCTAGGTGACACTGTAACACACAACCACAGCACACTTCACAGGTGCTCCCTGGACCCTAGGTGACACTGTAACACACAACCACAGCACACTTCACAGGTGCTCCCTGGACCCTAGGTGACACTGTAACACACAACCACAGCACACTTCACAGGTGTTCCCTGGACCCTACATGACACTGTAACACACAACCACAGCACACTTCACAGGTGCTCCCTGGACCCTAGGTGACACTGTAACACACAACCACAGCACACTTCACAGGTGCTCCCTGGACCCTAGGTGACACTGTAACACACAACCACAGCACACTTCACAGGTGCTCCCTGGACCCTACATGACACTGTAACACATAACCACAGCACACTTCACAGGTGTTCCCTGGACCCTAAATGACACTGTAACACACAACCACAGCACACTTCACAGGTGCTCCCTGGACCCTAGGTGACACTGTAACACACAACCACAGCACACTTCACAGGTGCTCCCTGGACCCTAGGTGACACTGTAACACACAACCACAGCACACTTCACAGGTGTTCCCTAGACCCCAGGATACCAAAGCTGACACTGCAACCCAGATAACAACAATTGACAGCCTTCCCTTGATATCACAATAAGAGAGTAAATGAGTGAACTTTGTTTGAAGTCACAGTTAGCAGGCCTGTTGGTAATCTGGTATGTGTCAAGCAAACCAGTGGTTACTGCAAGGGCAAGGACAACCCATAAACAGCCACATCACACACTGTCACCCCCATCCAACTACTGCAATGCTATGGAGACCTACGTGTTGTATGTCGTCCTCTTCAGCTCCTGAACAGCCTGAGACAGCTGAGAATGTGTCCTGGACGCATAGATGATCTTCGGAACCACTTGTATAAGGGACATTGTTTAAATAGCAATCTGTCAGTATTCAAGTCGAGTCATGGCAAAAAGTTGACACAATCAGTGAATTCTTGAATTACACTTGAATATGTTACTATCACACTAAGATGAAATTATTTTGAACACATTTACTAAATGAGCACAGGGTAATTTCTTCAATTCTATTGACACATTCATAAATACTGATCAACAGAAATAAATAAAATATCTTTTAAATCAATACATGCAGCTCAAATGTTTGTCACACTAATGTTACATGCTTTAACAAAAACAAAAGTCTTCATATTTATACACACCATACTCATTGGTACCCCATGAAGAACCAGACGATTGCTGGAGTTTGGACGAGATTTTTTTCATTAAGTCATCTTGAAGGTTTTCCTTGTCACCAAATAATGATGCCACACCCATCTGCTTGTTGAGGTCAACTTGAGCCTTACGACCTTGAAGCCATGCCAGAGAAGAACACAACAGACAGAGTGTTTTGCCTGTTCCTGTGGGACTCTCCAGAATTCCATGTTTCTCCTGGAACAATCATGGCCATCAACACATTCAACAAAAGACAGAAATATTTCCAAATATAGACTCAAACATAGGTTTAATAATTTGAGCTAATATGATGTCATCAAATGGAGAAACATACACTTCAAAGTTCAGTTCCCTCAGTCCAACAATTTCTGGGAAAATTTCTAATTCTAATATGCATTTTGAGAAAATACAAGAGTATTACAGACAAATATGAATCACAAAATTAACTAAACAATACCAAATTTCATTACATTTTGCAGACATTTTGAAAATGAGACTCAAACCTCTCAAACAAATTCATGTGACAAATATCAAGTGGTTTCTTCGGAGATTATACTTAGTGTGATGAAATGCATTTTGAGAGAATTTAAGAGCATGGTTGAAGTTCAAAGGTGAAATATAGGTAAAAGAATGAAATTTTGCTAACAGAGGATCACATATGTTGAGACCCACTAGTAACTACACACAGACCACATTTCATTACATTTTGCATAAGAACTGCAGAGTAATGGTCATAAATAGCTTTTTCAATATAGCTCATGGTGGCCATGTTGAAAATCTGATTCAACATAATAGCAAAAGTAGTGTTTTGTACATTTGTGCATCCATAAATCAATTGTCTCAGCATCAGCTTAAAAGTGGTGAGATGCTTACCCTCTGAAGACATTCAATGACTTTTTCCATAAAAGCCTTCTGGCATTCATATGGTTCAAAGGGAAAGTCAATTGACACCCCTCGCACACTTAACTGTGTCATTCTTGTTGTCTCAAGTCTGTAACAAAACAATAAACACACAGAGTACAAACACATCAATCCATCCATTGTGGACTCCACATCTACAATATTTACAATAATTACAACATGTCATGAAGCATGTGAACAAGATGCATTTACATTTTAAACTTCAGCAGATCATGGTACCATATTTTAGGTCCATAGTGCCCATTCTTTTTTCCAACTGTGTGAAGAGTAAGATGCACATAATACGCTATGACAATGTGCTTAGATTATTTTTCTCAACTAGCACTGGGCGTTGCCACCATTAGACAATTTCGGTGTAATGCCACAGTAGGCCTATGTAACACACTGCCTGGCCTAGGAACTTTGTTCAGCACAATTTGTTTCTTTCTTTCTTTATATGACATACTTAAAGAAAAAATGATTATCGTTGAAGCACATAAGTGTTTGGTGTAAGCACCTAGCCCTTACTTCTGGAATTAAAATATTCATGCCTGAGGAACAGATAATCTTGTTCTTCTGAGATGAGGACTTCTCTTATATTACCCATTGTAATTAAGAGAGACAATGGTGAAAACAAGATAAAATCTCAACCATGCAAAGAAAATTCAGTGAAGCCTGCATATAATTCTGATGATATGACATTGATCTGTGACATCATGAACACTGATTGATGAGAATATCATATCATACTGCTTTCACCAAGACCGGTGTGTCAATGGCTTCCACTAACCAATAACTACCTGTGAAGAAAGGGTTAGAACAGATCTTGAGCAACCAATACATGTCGTAAGAGGCGACGATGCTTGTTGTTAAGGGCTACTCACAAGATTGGGTGGTCAGGTTCACTGACTTGGTTAATGCATGTCATTGTATCCCAAATGCATGGATTGATGCTCTATCATATAGCTGGAATATTGCTGAGTGCGGTGTTAAACCATAAACACACACTGATGAATGAGCATTAAGTATCACCACACATGTGCAAAACACTTCTGCTGTCATGAGTCTTAATTTACTACATGGGTAACCAATCCTGAATTACCCGACACTACCCACTTACCTGCTGTAGGTCTCAAGAGTTATGTACAAAATATCTGATTGGGAATTGTTTAACCGGAGCCCTAGCAAAATGTATTTAGTTACATGTATAAAACGATCTGGTCATGCATACATTGAAATTGACTGAAACATATAAAAGTCAGAAGGAATGCATGCAGTCAGAAAGAAATGTCGACATTTGTGACTTGTAGTGTAACCATGGAGTTATAGAATCTACAATATTGTCATTAAACCATATATCATGAGACTAGCCACAGGTCAGGGTGGTTCTGTTGGTACCCCGGTCCTTTTCAGCACTCACTCGACCAAGTACCCATCACAGCCCTACTTTCTACCCTATGGGTGATGTTATTTTCTTTCTGTTCATGTTCTTAGGCTCCAATATCTGATATTTATTCTTATTTTGTTCCTGGATTTCATGTGAATGATTAGGGACGGTCAAAAATCATTACAGTGTGGGGTGAGTCAGAGGTTTTTGATGCACATATAGAAAATAAGGACCCTCGCCATGTCCTTGTACATTTTTTAAAGGCCATCCCCGAAAAGTCAAAATGCAAAAGCACTTTAAATTTTATTATTAAATATCCATTAATCATGACCCTCCCCAAATGTTTATATATTCTGACTTTCTATTTGAAAATGTCATATTTTTTGGTGTGACGAAATATTGTAAATACTCAATCGATGGCTTGATTTTAAGATAAAGTTGTCTTTTATAAGTGATAGAGATGTTTTACGGCTGTCCTTGTGGCTAGCGAGAAAACTGTTTCTAAACGTCAGAAAACCCGTAACACGTACAGGGGATGTTAAAACAAATTAATAGTTAATAATGCGGAGGGCATCAATAGTTGGCAGTTGCTGCACCTCATCTTTTACTGCTTGTGGCAAAACTGACAATCGACTGCTCAACTTGCAGCCTGTAAAACAATCTACGGCTTGCACAGTATCCAACCACATCTGACAGTGACACTGAACAGCGAATTATAGTGAATGACACAAGATTTCCCGCGAAAATTGGAAAATGATTATGATAATATTTGTGTCAACGTGACCAATATTTGTACATTTGGTATGCAGCTGGTATGGTATCATTAACGAGAAGTTTGGTAGAAGGGGCAATCTCACCAAAATTACTTCGGTGATTTTCATATCAGTTAAAACGATTCGGGCAACATTAATTGTGTTGCATTCAAAATGTAAACACATGTGGCGGCCATTTTTGAACATGACCTCAGGTCTAATCTTATTATATCCGGTTCAACTCAAAAGACCAATGAAATACGCGAAAAATAACCTGCGAGCCAATCAATAAACCGTTCATAATCCCAACAGCCAATCGTTTCTACCAGAAGTGACGTCACATATAAGTAGCGCGGAGTTTAGTTGAAACACTCTGTGAGGTCGTTACCGTTTTATCTTGAGGTTTGTTCGTTTTTTCTTCTCAACGGGTTGTCCTGTTTAGATACTGTTTTCTTTACTTTGATGTAGAAAGTACCTGTGAGGCACACATACTGACAATTTTGTGGTTTTGTGTATATTCAAACAACTGCAGTTCATTCGTGACCATCTGTGTTCATCTTCTCATTTACCGTTTCAAAATTCAGAAAGTATTTACTCAGGATCAAGCACAGCGATTTTGGATTAATTTTATTTATGTACGTATAAACCTTTTCATACAGTAGAGACCTTTTTACTGTAAATCACTGGTACACTGACAGATAAACAGCTTGTCAAAACCAGCTTCTGACAATACCTATTTTATTTTGATAGGCCACTGTTTGTCACTGCTAAAATAGACAGGAAAACAATAATAATGTACCAAAACATAAAATTTGCAAGGTTACCTTGGTTACGGATGTGTCAATAGGTAAGACTTGCGCCCGTATCTCACCTTCAAAAGTTGTATATGTATGCATTGCCGCTCAATCTTGTTAGGTATAGGGTATATATTTTTTAGGGGAGATACGGAGGGAAGTCTTCCCACCCTGTCAAAATTAGACAAAATCATGAATGGTTCCTCTTGCCACTGGAATCTTGCAAAATCACTAAATTTGTTTTGAAGCTCAGTTTTGCGCTCTGGCTGGCTGATCTAACTCTATGTTACCAGCTTGAAGCTGGGCAATGGAGTTAATTTGCATGATTAACCATTAGTAATGTTTATCTAGTGATAGCACTCAGTTATTTACATTGTTGTGTGCACACGTGCAGTTGTGACATTTTCACATAAGGTGAAATTTATTAAAAAATTAAGGATGTACCTCTGATTAGTTAAGAATTGACATGAATATTAAGAAGTCTTGTCCTGCTTGTGTCAGCGAAAACCATGCTCTAGATTTCACATAGATCAACTTCGAACATCGCTGTTATCTTGGTCTCAGATTGCACTTCATTCGCAAAAAATCAACCAGATTGAATGTTTACCATTCCCTGGTAATTGATCGTCGGTTCAGAAGAGCAGTAGGAACTGACACTCTGTCCAGTCAGGGCTCTTTGAGTATATATAAACTCTGTAAAGGTGTTTTGTCATAATCGTAAGCATGTTTATTCTGCTGTCGTCAATTACACATGCAGAGGGTTTACATACCACTGTCTCATTCTATCATTCTCCAGACTTGTGAGGTAGTCTAGTGGTTAAGGCATTCGCTCATCACACTGAAGACCCAGGTTCGATTCTCCACATGGGCACAACGTGTGAAGCCCATTTCTGGTGTACCCAATCGTGATATTGCTGGAATATTGCTAAAAGTGGCGTAAAACCATATTCACTCACTCACTCACTACTGCTAAACAAAGATTTGAGGACATTCCCATAACAGGTCACGTCAGAATGACCTTTTGCAAACTTTGACCGACCAATGAAATGACTAACAAAAAGTCGATATTAGCCAATCAAAATCAGAACTTTCTCCAGCTATGCGGCACTAGTTTTAAACTGGCAGCTTCTAGTCCAGACTGCGCTTGAAAAATATGTTGACAAAATCTGAAAACAAAAGAACATTCTGGATTGTCTTATATACTCTGCAAAAAAGAAATGCAAAATTAGTAAAATTGTAAATATCTAACCATGCTTACAGTGTTGTCTACATCCAAAAAAAAAGGAATTGGTCATCTCTCCATGGATTGGGATTGATTTGTGTGGAAAGAATGAGGCACTGCAGAAATGAAAATATGGAGAAACTGCAAAAACAACTTTGTGAGAGCATAGCGCCAAAACACAGCAACATGACATGCATGTGCAACATTACTTGTTGGGCTATAAAAACTTTGGGTTTTATTTGCATGCCATCACAATCTTACAGCAAGTGAACAGCGAAAACAAGCCACCATTGACAGAATCCAATGCAAAGACGCCATCTCCTGACTGCACATAGGAGACTCATCTTCAGCTGTAGCCAGGTTTTTCGCTTAGCAACGAACACCATTGCAAGACTGGAACCGTTATCAGACACATAGGAAAACATGTGACCGTCCCAGATCCTGTTGAACATGTATCACAACCAGAGCACAGGACAGATTCATACGTCTACAGCCACCTCTACAAGAGCAATACCAGGATTGTGCATGATATCAGCCCAGGCAGTGGGGAACCATTTACGCGCTGAAGGTATTCGCACAAGACGACCAGTTCTTGGTGTCATTTTGACGGACCTGCATCATTGACTGTGACATAAAGTTCACTCTGTATGGCCACAACCGCGATGGACACCAGTTTGGTTTAAGTGACAAGTCACGTTTTATTCTTTGCCATTCGGATGGTAGACATGTTTACAGACATCACAGGGAACCTTATGCACGAAACTGCATACAGAAAGTGGACAGATTTCGGAGGTGGGCAGCCATCTCCAATACTTGTAGAACAGATTTGGTGATGTTCTGGGGAATTTAACAGCACAACGTTACACAGATGAGATTCTTCATCCTTTCACTTCCTTCCCATTATGCAATAAGTGAACGTCACTTTCCAATAAGACAACACCCGACCTCACACGGCAAGACTGACGACAGAATTATTCAGGAATCCCAACATCCAGGTCCAGCTATGGACTTCCAGGTCTCCAGATGTTTTTGTATGCACTGGATCAACAACTGTGAGCAAGTCAGCAACAACCACAGAACACCTGACAGTTGGCATAAGCTCTGCGGGCAGAGTGGATAAACATTCCCCTGGCCATAATTCGGAGACGATGCCAGTCTCTTTTGGACTCTAATGGGTGGACATACAAGATATTGAGAACGGATGATCTTTGCCTTGAAAATGTACAGTTCCATGTGTGCCATGTGGAACCTGGGTCAATGACAATGATGATCATCAGATGCATGCCAATTTTGAACAATCCATTACAATCTGTTGATAATTTATATGGTCTATTAAATTTACATCTAAAGTCACTTTTGGGTTTCTATTTTTGGCAGAGTATAATACATGTATAATGTCAAGATTGTATGGCAGTATTTCCCACGGAATATGCAACTGTTATGGCCAAATGTTAATCCCATTGAAGCGAGATCACCTTATATGACCGGTGTGGTCTGGCTAGTAGCAGAAGCCACCGAATTGTATATGCCGTAACTGTCATACGGAATACACCATGTTAACCTTTTCAAGTTTCAAGGTTTGCATGATTAGAAAACACATTCTGACTGCCACTTTCCTGATCTCGTAAGCTATGCTCTGATTGGTAAGATGAAAGGTTCTGATATGACCCATAATGGGATGTCCTACAGTGGTAGGAGGTACAGGCAAAGACAGCACAAGAGGGGTTGTCTCATGATAATTTTACTCGCAATCTGACTTCCTCGTGGCACAGTCCTCGTTGGAATGCTTGTTTCTGCTGATGGTCACAACTATAGGTGGGACTGTTGCTTGCTGAATTCCCATCACAAGACCAGTATCTTGACTATCTTGTTGACAACTTTGGTAACGCAACACTGCCATGTCTCTACAGTTGCCCGAACAAGGGATTCATTTACTAGTTTTTCAACATCCTGCAATTTAAATGTTGTGTTAAATCGTCAAATATCACCTTTGACGACCCCCCACATCAACTCTGTTGGTTTCAGATCGCAGTGGTAAAGGGGCATTGTAAAATAGCGTTACCTTGACCTTTGTAGTTGTCAACCATTTACACAGGCTCTGATTTGTTAGATTTTATAATTTCATAGAGTTGTGGTTTTGTGGCCCTGGAAGGAAAGGTCATATTCATCCGTTGCAGCCACATCACCATATCTCCTCTTCCTCAGATGTCATCATATTCCAATAGTATGGTTCGATGCTCATGATGTCAGTCACTGGATTGTCTGGTTCAGACTTGATTATTTACAGACCATCATCATATTGCTGAGTGTGGCCATAAACAACAAATATGATCCTGTTCATGGTGATGACAGTACTTAAGATTGAACTATTTAACATTTGACATGTTTTCAACATGTTGTTGGTTTTACCAGTTAGGATAGATAATATCAATTGACTTTGTCTGAAGTCCAAAAGGTCAGCCAAGACACTGAAAGATGTTAAACATGTTTTTTAGAACGAAGGCGCTGCTAGACAGACTAATGGAAAATATGTGGTGTGAAGCAGTGATGTCTTTTTAATGGTGGCAATTTTCAGATGACTCCCATGCTACATCAAACATGAATGTCTCAGCACTGTGACTTGTCACTGCCAGAGGATTGCAATTGCCGGTATAAGGTCATTGCAACCTGTATCTGCATTTAATTGTGGAAACAAATACATTTTTTAACATTGGTTTCGCTGCAAAAGTTAGAGCTTTGGAACGCTTTATTTTTAGCCATCTCATTTTGGATCTTGAAGTCAAGTATCAAATTGAGCAGATTGTTATTTCGATGTTGCCTTCAATTAATTGTGTTGGGAGCATGGTACAATCCCTAAACCTTGCTATTTGTTAGGCTCCCACTCACAGCCGCCCATCTTGCTTGGTGCCATCAGCACTGTTGTGACAAATCAATACTTGCAATATTCTGCACGTTCACTGAAGCCCCCAGCTACAACACAGGAATCTATTAGGCAAGAATGTGTTTTATCTTGCTCTCTGGCCGGTACCAGATAACCTTGCAGCTTCCATGACAAGCAAATGAGTCACTGCCTGGATGCAAGTCCTCGTCATCATCCAAATGGAGGCTGCTGCTGAAAACTTGCATTGATTTTCATTGATAATGGCCATGCACTGGAATTTGCATACTTGCATCACTGTCTAAAGACAATTA